TTTTTGTTTTTTGTGAGAACATATTTTTGACGATACTACCTGGAAATATTGACCCAAATACTCGAAAACATATTTACATTGTTAGGTAATATTTTATCATATCGTAATTCACGAAAATTAAAGGTTTGACTTATATTCGGTCTAATTGCAAATAAGTTCAACGATGATGATGTTGGTTTAACATATTTCGTGTTTTATACATGAAATTGTATTTAATGATATAAATTGGCATTTATTTACTATGAAAATATCACGACACGTGGCAAAGAATTTTTGTCTTTCCTATCCATGTCAATTATTCTGGAAATTGAAACAGTTTAAAAATCATTGATATGTAAAAATGACGATGCGAAAAAATACTATTTACTTGTGTCGCAGTGACTTCTGATGCTGCGTCATATAGTTTTATTGTTAATTTCGATGTATCATCAGTTATATATTTGATTACAATACGATTCAATGCATTAATATTAAATATAATTTTCATGTTTACCAGACATAAGTTATCGATCATTGGTAAATTTTTAAGCATTTAAATAATATTGGATACATGGAAATTAATTGTCAAAAACAAAGCAGAACGAGGTTATATTTCGTTTATAGCGAGACATGAAAATAAAATATCCCATCGACGTTCAATGAGGATAAAATCTCTTTTATTAATCTTCTCTTCTCTAAGGCACTTCCTAACACGTGTTTTACGTTTGATTTAGCTTTCAATTAGTATACTCACGTCACCAATTCTAAAAAACTAACGGATTCAAATCCCGTTCGTTTCTTTCCCTAATGCTCTCATTATGACGAATTTTTATCAAATTAGACTGATTTTTAATTGTTTGGAATATTTTTCACTGGAAGTAAATTTTTAATTATTCTGGTGACGTCACAATGTGTCACATGCACATTTCATAGATTATTTTGAAATTAGTCGAGCAACAGGTTAAATGTTTTGCATTAAAATATTTGATATCTTCGCCTCAATCTTGTAATGAAAGTACATAACGTTCCTTTCGTTGTTATTTATCTAGTAAACTTTCTGTTGTTTTCATAATGTGCGAAAGAAAACTTTTTTCTTTCTACATTATTTCTTTCTTTAGTGAAAGTGAAGACGTACGATATACCTACATATTTATTATGATAATCAAAATGATCATTGATTCGTAGAAATTTTGTAGATTCTTAATGCACAATTTTTACTAATTACAATTTCTTGCGTAATTTTTTATGTATCTTTCACTTTCATTTCTTTCTTTGTGTACTTTAGTTGTGATTATAATTTTTTATTGAGCTTTAGAAATTGTAAAGCAAATTGCATACGAGTCGAAGATGAAATATCTTTTGAGGTTATGTCAACTAAGAAAACAAAAAAATGTGGTCTTTTTATTTTATTTCGCATCTGTCGGCATACATAAAACAGTATATAGTTTAGTTTTATTATATTATATATGAGAAATCATACCACGACATCTACTGATCCATTCGAGAAATATAATAGTGCAGTACATATCGTCGTATAGTTCTTCAATCAGGGACAGTATCGTTACATTTCCCGAGGGTTACGTGTTAATTATCCATCTATGAGAAATCATGATCACTGTATAGATCCACGAATAATAGCGATAAGAAAAAAAAAAGAACTCGAAAGAGGTTGGAAAACCTCTACACGTAGAGAACGATCGTGTAATTGCGCATGCGCAGCACTGGGAGAGGGAACGAGCGAGTCGTGTGGTACACACACGTATTTGAGAAAGAAAGAGAAAAAGAGCAACGAAAATAAGTGGCGGAAATTCAAGTATTCTCTCAAAGATGCGATCAAATTTTTCAAACATTCTGTTTACATTGTTTCTCGCATTGTCTGAAGTGTAGAAAGGAAGAGATAAGGGACAGTTCAATGAGATATTTCGTTCTTTAACGGTTGGCAGTGGGTAAAAGGCGAGACCTCGGTAAATTACGCTTTATGATACCTAACCTTATCGTGAGCAAGTGTGCGCAGTCCGTCGTCAGTTGTACGTCCACCCAGAGGCTGTATGTCCAAACGATCGCCATCATGAAAACATTCGGCTCGTCGTCGTCGTCGTCGTCGTCGTCGTCGTCGTCGTCGCCGTCGTCGTCGTCGTCGTCGTTGTCGTTATCGTTGTTATCGTTGTTTCTCTTCCGTCCTTGCAGTTTCCTCAGATTGAAGTAATATCGAGCGCTCGAGTACGAAGTTGCACACACAAAGAGTGAAACGGAGCGAGAAAGAGGAACAGAGAAGGGGATAGAAAGAGAAGGAGACAGAGGGTAAGAGAGAGATAGAGAGAGATAGAGCTATTTGGTAACATTTCGTTTTAGTTTGGTAGAAAGAGAGAGAGAACGAGAGTGAGCGAGAGATAGGGTTAGTGGGAGAGAGAGGGAGAGAGACAGATCCTAAGAGACAAAGCGAATGCGCGCATCGCGAGAGAGTGGCCAAAGCGAGAATTGCGCCGCCGAGATTTATCAAGCAAAAGCTCAGAAGGGAAAAGAGTTGCCCTGACCGACGGTCAACCAAAATCGGTCATAGTAAACTGCACGTCTTCTAAACGTGTCTTTTGAACACGATAAGGATAGGCAAAGGGAACCTACTTAAATGCCTCAAACGAATTCTTACTCCATGTTGTGCGTTGGTTGCAACACGACTGCGTGTTGGAAAGTGAGTAATATCACGTTTCCCTCCGATCACGCCTCTCTATCATTCCGATTTTATTGCGCCGGAGACGAAAATCGGATCGCATAACGGCAGGGAAAGGGGTTATGACAACGCGTTAAAAAATCCCTCGAACCCTTCCGTTTCTTCCTTTTGCCTCAATTTTTTCTCTTCTCTTCGTCGTTATCAATTGTGTTTGCTTCTTGTTGCCCGATTTGTCGGTTTTATTTGCCCTTGGAGAAATCATACACATTCTCTCTCTCTCTCTTTATACGTATATCTTTCTCTTTCTTCTTCCGTGAGCACGAAATTGTTCTCCAAGAAGGAACGGCCCTTGTCTCAAGATATCGTTGCTGCTGACGATTTCTCTCGTCTATTCTATGTATAGACTTATCGTTGTGTACGCGCGTGTGTGCAAGTGAAATTTCAACATGAAAATTTTCGTGCGTCTGGTTTTCTTGAGACAGTGCGGATGTGATTGACAATATTTCTTGTATAACGTGTCTATTATGGTGCAATGATCGTTCCGTTTTTTTTTCTTTTCCTTTGTCCTTTTAAACCATTGTTGAGACCCATCATGCTGGACACAACATTTTCTTAATTAAACGAGTAGTGATTGTAGTGATTTCATCTTAGCAATGTAGCATCTGTGCAAAAGTTTTTTAAATTTAAACGTTTGTGCTTTGTCATCGTTGAATAAACTTCTGTCTAGCTTTACGCAATGAATTTAGCTTTAAAGTTTATCAATTTGTCATAGAGTTCATCTTAATCTCAAACTTAAGATTGCATATAGATTGCATATTGTGAGAAACAAAGAGATGTTAAACGAAACTGCATTTTGGTAGGTGAATGTATGGTGACACGCGGTTGTGAAGGAGCAACTGGAGAGCGAGCTGTGGCAAGAGAACTTTAATTATCTCCCATTTAGTTGACTGCAATTTGCTCGACATTGTTTCGAGTGATTGCACATAGGATAAAACTAAGAACTTTGTTCTATCATTGAGGTTCTATTGGGATAAATAAAGAAAATGGAGCGAGAATCTAATCCAATGCAAGCTCTGTGCCGCAGCGGCTGTGGATTTTATGGCTCCCCAGCCACGGATGGCCTCTGTTCTCTCTGTTACAAAGAAAATCTAAAAAAGAAGCAGCAGCCTCCTGTGTCAGCTGCCACTGTACCAACATCACAGACCGTCTCTGGCAACGCTGGCACGTTGCAAGCTGGTTTTGGTAGTCCTGCAGCTACAGGAACTACGGCTCAACCTACCATTCCTACCATACCTCAGTCAACGACAGATCTACCCAACCCCAAAGAAGTAAGTTTCATTTAAGTTACATTTATGTACACTTAATCTTTCACAAAATTTTTAATTTGTTATCTTCAGTTAATATACAAAGCCTAGAAAAGAGAATTAAGGTTTATCTAGTTTCAAAAATGTAGATATTATGTAATAAGTTTGTTCATCCCTCAGTGATATATTTTGAGGAATATTATAAAAACACAGCTGCAATTAATGTGGAAAAAAGTGTTTTATAACTGCATTATTTAATGATAATAAAGAAGAAAGAAATAATCACATTTAATAAAGTAACGATCTTTATTTCTGTGCAAAGAGATTTCTTTGATGATGATATAAAACTTTGGAATAATTGGATAAGAAAGACAGCTTATTTAAAATAGACAACAATATGAAAAGAAACGTATACCATTGATCAAATAAATCTTATATAAAAGTAATAATCATTGATATTCTTTTAAAAGAAATATGAATAAATTTGTTATATAACTTTATACTTATGCATTTGTATGAACATATAAAATGAAACATTAACAAAAGATGTGAAAATATACAAAATAATACATTAATACAGAGTTCAATATTTTTATTACGTATTAGATAAATAGAGAAGATCAAGAAAGTGAAGTAGGTGTAAGCAGTGGAGCAGTAGCAGAAGGATCTGTGAGTAGTGGTGATGCAGATGACTGCTTTGATGGCAAAGAGACTGACAAAGAATCTAAGAAGAAGAAAAATCGTTGCGCCGTGTGTCGCAAAAAAGTTGGTTTGACGGGTGAGTTGGCAACGACAATGAAAAAACATATTTAATCCACTTTGGACAATTTACTATTTGACTTTCTTTTCATTTTTTTCACAGGATTCGAATGCCGTTGTGGGGGACTGTTCTGCTCTGTGCATCGATACAGTGACAAGCACGATTGCAAGTTCGATTATAGAGAAATGGGCGCTCAAGAGATTCGGCGCAACAATCCAGTTGTTGTTGGTGAAAAAGTGCAAAAAATTTGAACTATTTAGTGCGTAGATCGTTGGGAAAATGGTTATATAACTATATAAACAAAACAGAATATAAAACAAAAACACGGAGAAAAAAAACGAGATAAATTATCTGGCAGCTGATTGCACGTCGAGGGGCGAGACGGGTGAATGTGAGGATCATGAACGAAAGGTAGCAGGGAATTAGTATGAAAGAGTGAGAGTGAGAGAGAGAAAGAAAACTGTAGTAAATGTGTTAGAACAAATAAGAGTGAAAGTTGCAAGCTTATTGCGATGGTAGAGAGGAAAACTAAGAGAGAATGGGAAATTTAAAGGTTATAAAACAAATTGGTTTGTACACGACATCGCAAATATAATATATATATATATATAGAAACGCCGAAAAAAAAGATATATAGACGAAATTTTTCGAACGAAGATTGAAAAATGAAAACGCAAATAGGAAACAAATATTAATGCGAAAAACAAAAAGGAGAAACAAATTAGAGTGGGTGCCGCGTGTACGAATGGTTTGAGAAAATTTTTGAATGTAGTGCCATGTCAGATTGTTATCTTAAGCGAGAGATTTTAATCGAAAATATATTTCGTTGTAACACTGCTGCGCGCGCTGCCAGCTTAATACTACTATTACCTTTATTATTATCTATTATGTTTTATTATTATTATTCTACCTTATGTTTATTGATTTACGTGA